TTAAATGCAGGCAGAGTAATCTGCCGAGTTCTTGGTGCTGTTGGAGCTTGGTTGTTTGATTGCAGAAGTTTCATTACCCAACTAGGTAACATCATCAGTGCAAGTGAGTGTGGGGTTTTGCTCCCTATTTGTATACAGTAGCTTGCCCTGTACAGTGTTAGTGGGGCTGTGGTTTTCTCCTTGGTAGTTTTTTGATTAGGGTATTGTTTTCTGTTTTATTGTTTGTCTGGTGTTAATTCCTGTTTATCTGGGTGTTGGCTGCTGGAAGGAACAGCTAAGAAGGAAAAAAAAGACCAGAACACATCCCCTCCAGCAGATCTTAAGATCTTACCACTCCTTCCTCCAAAGTTTAATGAACCAGGGGGCTATATTTAGTGAAGTAAACTGTATTCCACAAAGGTTTATGTCAGAGTAGTCTTTTAGATGTCACAGAGAACATTATTATCCTTATTGATGAGATTTTATTTCCTGCTTCTTTTGGAGCTATTCATAACCCCAACATTGCTAAAGTAATCCAAATTCTGAAGACACGTTTTCTATTCAGTTATTTCTCATAAATATGTTTTGCCACTAGCTTTATGTTATACTTTATTTTCACCTTTCTTTGTTGTGGCTTTAGTTTTAAAAAATAAATATTAGCAAGTGATGTCATAAGAGGGAATGCATAGGTTCAGAGAAAGGGTTCTAACAACATGTAGAGGAACAGAAATTCTATACCTCTGTTGTTTGAGAATAATAAATAAACAATTTCAAAAGAACTAGTGCTCTTGGGCTGGATGGCTTACATGCTGCATATTAAAAGTATCTTTCAGAAAAGATTGTGCATTTGCTGTTATATTTTATGAATGTTTTCAGCAGAGGTGAGGAACCTCCAACTCATTGGCCAGTTGGATCTGGTCTTCTGCTCTGCTCTTTTCTGCTTCCACACTTAGTGTGCCAGTTAAGCATAGGAAAATTTTCACGTTGTGCAAATGGCATCTTTTTTCAAGGTCTTACTATGATGGGGACATTTTGTGATTTGTGAATTTTCTGATATACATTTTGTACCACTGAAGTAGATTAAGTAGGATGAATTGTAGATTATAACAAAAAAATATAGTGAACAGGCTTTAATAAAACAAGCATTCAATAAAAGGGATTTGTTGAAATTTTTATAGTTATATGATTCTCCAAAGTGTGTATTTGGGTGAATGATTCATCCCCAAAGTGAATGGAAGTTTTAGATTGAACTGTAGCCATATTCTGAAGAAGGGGAAGACAACTTTCTCAGTTTGAAATCATATTCTCTTTTATAGAATCTTCCAGAAATTACACACATACACACATTAATTTTTTATATTACTACCAGTAGGTAATTTTCTAAAATCTAATGTCAAATTATACATTATTTTGCATCAGCCAATAAGAAGTGGGAAAACAGATGAAAGTTTGAAGAGAGGAGAACATTCTGGAATAGATTAAGAGCATGGGCTAAAGTTCCATTTGCTTGAGCACAGGTGAGGTTTTTTTCCTTCGCATCGTGCTTATGGTCCACCCAGGGCCACATGGCTACCTATTTTGTAAGACAAGATAAAGAATTAGATTAATCCTTAGGACTCTCATAATTGGTCTTCTGATATTTCTTGTCTCTTTGGCATAATATTCTTAGTCCTTTTGTTTACTCTTGGATGAAAAGATGGTATCTATATCTGAGTTATTTGTTGGTGAGACTAATCAGTTTTAATTTCATTTGATGAGGCAAAATTTGAATTGTGAAAATGTATGCCAGAATAAAACAATTCTATGTTGTGGCTCCTTAAATGTTAGAAATATGTCCTCTTCCATAAAGTACATTATCTCTATTTACTTCTCTTGTACTTTGGCCTTTCTGCTTTACTGCTTTTCATACTTGGAATATCCTGTCTCCAGCCAAGTCATAAAATGATAGAATCCTGCAATGCTATATTGGTCTAATCTGATTTATACTGGGGGTTGGGAGGAATGGGCCATATTTGAATGCTCTGCTGTCTAAAACAAAACAAAACAAAATACTTCTTTTTAAAAATGGAATAGTTCAGTCCAGTCTTAGCTGTCTGTTTTCTATTTGAAGATCAACTTAGATTTAAAATATTGTATTTTATATTATTTATATTAAAAGATTCCTCAACTGTATTCTAGAGTGACATAATACTTTCTTCTATACATTTGTGTTATGAGAATACAATAACATCTAGCCCGTCCTCAAAAGGGATGGGAAGTTAGCATTGTAATATGAATGGAATAATTTTGCACTTTGAAATTACTATTCAGTCTCAAATGTAGTTGCACTTTAAAACTGACATCTTTTTGAATTTAAAATGACATATATGCATGTTCCTTTTAGGGGAAATCTATATAAAATGCTTATGATTACAGTACTCAAGCAGGTTCTTTTTTCAAACTGATGCAAAAAATAGACAAACTTAAGTTTGGAAAAATAAGAAAGTGAACAAAATTAAACTTAATAAATATCATCTCTAAGAACAACTTCTTCAGCAAGGACTAACACCAACTCTGGGTGTTATATTAAATCAGCAATACAGGCCATCAACATAAACTAATAACCCTACTCTAACTTTCATTAAAACACTAAACAGATTGGCAAATAAAACTAAACAGTCACCCATTGTTCATCATTAGGAGCCAACAGTCTGCTGAAAAAATATGGTTTAAAGTGCCTTCCAGAATTCCAGAAGAGAAGAGGACAGATGTACCTTGGAGGTCATTCATATATAGGCAGCAGCACGGAGGTCATTCTAAAAATAAAAGCAGTGTGCTCCATTACATGGGGGCCACCACAGAGAAAGCCTGTCTTCCAGCCTATACCCCTCATATCTCTGATAGGGGACAGACCTTGAGAAAATCCATTTAAGATGTCTAGACAGGACAGGCAGAATCATACTGGGCAAGGTTACCCCTTGGGCCCAGAAGCCTACTAGCAACCAGCGCAAACACCTTGAGATAGGTATAACTCTGCAGTCTCAGATTTCCACTGCTAGCAGTCTGGTTGAACATTCTGCCACCAGCATGTTGCAGTAGTCCACTTGTATAGTAGTCCGGGCATAAATTACCATCACCAAGGCTTTCTGATCCAAGCAGGGCTGTAACTGGCACACTAGCCAAAACTAAGCAGAGGCCCTGCAACCATTACCTCCTGCTGCTGTTCAGCCAGGAGACGTGAATCCCAAGTCATGCATCTGTTCCTTCAGGGAACAGGGTTGCATGTGTTTGGCTGGATTCAAGAAATGGTTACTATCTCTTTGAGGAAGAACATGTTGCCCCCATCTTTCTTGAAACAGGTGGTAGTGCATAGAACAACCACTGGAATTGATAGTTCCAGAAAGCCAAGATGGTTATGGACAAACAGTAATTCCGTCTTGCTAGGGTTTAGCCTGAGCTTGTTTCTTTGTATCTATGGCCTTACACTTTCCAGAAATCAAGTTATCCAATATGGCTAGATCTTCAAGAGAGTATGCACTACCACCTGTTTCAAGAAAGATGGGGGCAACATGTTCTTCCTCAAAGAGATAGTAACCGGCCTTACACTTTCCAGAAATCAAGTTATCCAATATGGCTAGATCTTCAAGAGAGTATGCACTACCACCTGTTTCAAGAAAGATGGGGGCAACATGTTCTTCCTCAAAGAGATAGTAACCATTTCTTGAATCCAGCCAAACACATGCAACCCTAGTCAACCTTCAATCATTTTTAGTTCCAGAAAAGAATTTTGTATACTTCTTATATAAATGTGCTTTCTTCTGATGTGATTATGGGCTCACATATTGGCTTGATGGAACATCCACCTTGGGGGGCAACACCTAAGCTTGGCTGGTTGTGAAAAATAAAATAGAGTTAGTAATGCTGGATGGGAGGACCCCCATCCAAAAAAAATCCCAGGGCTGTAAGCTAGACTGAGAAGTCAAAGGAACATCCTGCAAACAGCAGTAGCAAACCACATCTGGATTGTTGCCAAGAAAACTACAGAGTCCTGCCCATGAAGTCAGTAAAAGTCACACTTGACTTGAAGGAGATTTTTTTATTTAATGCCAAATATATGCACTGATAATAAAACAGGCAGTTTTGAAAAATCCATAAAGGAGGGCGAAGTGTCAGGATTTGCACAAAGGCAAAGAAAGTTATGCAGTGCTGTTCTTCCTGCAAAGGAGAAACAAAAAAGCTATATTAGATTGGTGGAAATTCATTTTAACGTTTTGTTTGGTTGGAGAGGACAGCTGAAGAGGTGCTGTTGTCGATAAGCACTGTGAACAGAGAGCCAAATTTAACATCTTCCTCTGGCTCCAGATAATTTACCCAGCAGAAAAGGTTTTCATGTGTTTGAATATATCGTCGCTGTTTATTCAAACCCAATATTAGGAGCTGCTCAGAAAAACACAGAAGGCCATTGTGAGAAAGTCACTGCCTCTTTAATGAGCTGCTAACTTCTGTGTGAAGAATTTAAGAAGTGGAGCAGAAATCAAGGACAAGGCATAACAATGAGGTACAGACTGTTCCAGTTTTGTCTATATATGGCAATTAGGTACAGAATAAATAGAGCTGATGCAGAAATATATTGATGGTTCAGTCCTACACATATCTATTCAGAAGCAAGCACCATTAAGTTCAGCAGAGCGTACTGCCAGATCAATGGTGTCGGCTTGCAGTCTAAAATAAATATTTAAATTCTGCATATTCCTGATTCCGTCCGTGCATGGAACTGTACGGTTCATATGACTTCCCCTGCCACCAGCTGCACTGTGTAAGATTCAAAGTTCCCACTCCCCTTTTGTATAAACCAGCAATTAAAACTACAGTCATTATATAATTTACTTCAGAAGAGTGATCCCACTGGCTTTAGTGAATCTCTTTTGGAAATACATGATTCATAGAATTGCACTTTAAATAACACTACTAGAAACTCAGGCTGAGATGAGACTCTTGAACCTGCTGTTTTTCCATTCACAGTCTTCCTTTTTCTGTTGTAGGTGGACGCATATGCTCCTTTTCCCCTTGCATCGAGCAAGTTCAAAGGACCTGTTTGGCTTTGGAGGAACATGGCTTTACTGAAATTAGTACTTCGGAGATCCTGCTCAGAGTGTACAACGTTCGAACAATTAGTTTGCCAATGCCTGATCTTGGAAAAACAGCTAAGGATAATTCCAACACTGGAGTTGATGGAGGCAACCTATCAAATGAAGATGCCTCGTATCCAAGTCTTCAGCAGGGAACTATACAATTTAAGAGTGGTGTGCCGCTTAGGGAAATGGTGGGTCACACAGGCTATTTGACCTTTGCTACTAAAAGCCTATTTTAAATACAGGCTAGAGAGGTTTTCTGCTGCCTGCCCTCTGAATATAGTTTTCCCAGCTCTTTGCTTCCTGGCAATTCCATATATAGTCAGATTGATATTTCATTTAAATAGCTATGCAGGAGCACTAACCAGATCAGCCTTGGCAATAGGCTGTTGTTCTGAAACAGTGCTCGGCTAGTTGTCAGGTAGGAAGATGGATTAACAGCTGATAGGTGCAGTTTGGAATTTACAAAGTAAAAGTCACAGGAATGAGAACACACACACACACACACACACACACACACATATATATATATATATATATATGGCTTTGTTTTGCTTCCTGACATTTTTCCCCTCCAAGAGGGTATGCCATGAGGATTTTTTTTTCATGCCTGAATATTTGCTTTTGAAATATATTGTATTAATTAAAAAAAAATATATGAAAGAGGCCTAGTGTGGCTTTCAACTAAGGCTGCTAGAAACCACATCATGCCAAGTAAACACGTTTTTTATTCTTATCCAAAAGTGCTTCAGAGTGCACAGGGAGATACACAAGGCTCTTCTTGCTAGTTCCTTAAACCAAATGCATCTTTTTCTGGGAACACACAACTGCATTCTGCATTTGAACCCAACCCCATGGAAAGACAAAGCTGCTTTCAGTAATTGTCAAAGGGGCTACGACGTGTGCATCCCAAGCACTCCAAAGTACCTGTTGACTTTTGAATCCAGTGTGGTACAGCCCTGATACATGAAGGCGCTGGCTTTGCCCCTCACTAGTGAAGAAAAGGAATAAAGCATGGATTCATTAGAGTCTTTCTGTATAGAAATATGCTGAAATTGCTAAAGGTACAATTTATCAGGCCACAGGTATTACCTGCGATTACATGGGGACATTCTCTAGATCAGTGTTTCTGACTTACTGGCTGTGGAATTCTGGGAGTTGAAGTCCACACATCTGAAAGCTGCCAAGGTTGAGAAACACCGCTCTAGATATAGAGCATACCTTTACATCTAACGTGCACACACAGCTCATGAGTGCAATCAGTTTCCTTATTTGCTTCACTGGGTGGGTATCATTCGGATACACTATTTCACTTTTGTAGATGTGCGTCCTTCCATTGGAATGAATGGAGAAGCCCTTTAGAGTGAAGCAACCCTGTAGCTCGATCCATCCAGGGAGTGGTTTGATTTAACGTAGTGCATGAGCCCATTCAAGACATGACTTGTTCAGGAAGTTCTAATCTGGCTTATCATAGCTGCGTGAGCCCGGTCGGTGTGTGTATTGAGTGCTATCATGTCAAAGTCAGGCTGAAGAATCCTGTTGACATCCATGGTAAGCTTGGAGTGCTTCGTTTTAGGTCAGTGTTGTCCAAACCTGGCCACTTTAAGATGAGTGGACTTCACCTCCAAGAATTCCACAGCCAGCCATGCTGGCTGGGGGAATCTTGGGGGTGAAGGTCATTTATTTTTAAGGGGGCCAGGATGGGAGACAATATTTTGGTTGGTTTTCTTAAGTACCATGGGT